TCGTACACTATGTAAAAACAGAAGAGTCACACTTTAAATAGGAAAATTATAACAATTTTGGAGATGCTAATAATCCAATACAATTATTTATGCTAATCTAATTGTACTCCTGCCAGATCCTACTCTTGGTGACTTGTGAAATAAGTCAATTTCTAAAAAAAATAAATAAATAAATTATATAAAATATAATAATAATAATAATAAAAAAGTACAGTGTTCCTCACTTAAAAAAAAAAAAAAAAAAAAAAAAAAAAAAAAAATCGGTCCCACTTTAAATGAAATGTTCTTAACTAATATGTATTGAAATTAAATACACGAAAATTAACAGTTTGTTAAAATGCACTTAAATGTACTTACGTTTTACATCGTACTTATGCTACATGTAATTACATCTGTAATCAATTTCTGCACTACATTTATAATTACACTGTTGATCATTCCTTACACCTTAACCCACCCTTAAACCTAACCACAACACCCAAACCTGTCCCTAACCCTACCTGTTTCCTACCTCAAGAGCACCAGAAGTGTTCTGCAATACATTATGAACACATTAAATACAGTATATTTACATTTTAAAGTAAACAGTAGTTAAAGAACACAATATAAAATGGGACCATCAAAAACATTATTATTTTTTTTCAAATTTTGGAATGACTTGCTAATGGTCTAATCCGATTGAATGATTTATGCTAAGCTAAGCTAATAATGCTCCCGTAGGACACGAAGGAAAACAAGGAAAAAACTAACCTCTTTAATGCTTGGTGACATGTAAAATGAGGCTAGTTCTAAAAAAAATAAATAAAAAAATACTTTTACTGCTTGTTCTAACTTCTTATTTATGATAAGTTGAATCAACTTAATTTTTGAGTTTTTTTGGGGGGGGGAACAACTCTTAATTGTTTTATGTTTAATCAACTTAAATTAGCAAAAACAAATTAAGATAACTTAAACGATTTGTGTAGATACCACATGAAGGAATTGTGTGGAACCCAGTGTTTAAAGCAATGGGTTTACTCACATTTTTTTTTAAGTAAATTCAACTAATCACTTTACAAGCAACAGGTTTACTCAGTTTAAGTAAAATCAATCCTACTTTATATTAAATGTCCTTAACACTGAAAATAAAAATTTGTTAAAATGTTCTTATTGCGTAAATACAGGTTTTACATCGTACTTGTGCTACATGTAATTACATCTGTAATCAATTTCTGTAACTACATATATAATTACCTTAACCCACCCTTAAACCTACAGTACCCACAACATTCAAACCTGTCCCTAACCCTACCCGTATCCCACTTTAAGAGCACCAGAGGTGTTCTGCAATACAATATGAACGCATTAAGTACAGTAAATTTACATTTTGATGTAAGTGCATAGTAGTTAAGGACACTTAATATAAAGTGGAACAAATCCGCAATGAGATGCTAATGGTCCAATCCGATACAATGATTTATGCTAAGCTAAGCTAATAGTGATCCCGCTGGAACTGAGGACTAGCTGAATGAATTTTTTTTTCTAAAAAAATGGTAAAACTCAACTCTTTAACTCTTGGTGACTTGTAAAATAAGTATATTTCTTTTAAAAATAAATAAATAAAATAAAAATTTTACTGTATTTTTACTGCTCATTCCAACTTCTTATTTATAATGAGTTGAATCAACACAATTGTAACTTAAATGTTTTATGTTTAATCAACTTAAATTTGCAAAAACAATTAAGTTAACTTAATTGATTTGTGTTGAGACAGCTTGAAGGAATTGAGTGGAACCCTGCACTGTTTACAGCGTTAAAAGCAACGGGTTTGCTCACTTTTTTCAAGCAACTAATCAATTTAAAAGCAACAGGTTTACTCATTTTTCAAAGTAAAAACAACTAATCACTTCTCACACTGTATATGGAATAGCCATAAGAGATAAAAGGATTATAGATCAGGCTTAAGGCCTAAAAAACTGATAAAACTAATACAATCCATTTTTTAGGTACCAATATGGGTCTAGTTGATTGCACATCCCTCAAATTCAATAAGACTGGGTGGCCATTTCTGTCCAGACGAAAAGGGAAGTGATTAGGAGAACTTGATGTTTAAAAAAATGTACCTTGTGTTATAAAATAGCTGTTCTGAAGATGCATGTTGAAAAAGGAACAAAAATGACGTTGATGATCAGCTCAACCCAGCTCGAATCATTGCTAAGGCCCGTCTGCTAAAGACAGCACATGTAGACAAAGGATGCGACGATCTCTCTCTATAGCATGCCACGAAGTGTGCAAAACACACGCTAATTCTAGAGCTAATATATTACACGTTCTCTGCATGTTCCGAACGACTTGGCATATCGAGGCAGATTTATGCAGCTAAAAACGCCACACAGTTGATGGAAAACGGATCGCATCTGGAACATTTTTCAAAATAAAGTCAAAGAAAATGTAAAAGTCATCATGTTTTACACAGTGACCTGCCTTAAGACTGACTGATGGGTCGTTTTTTTTAGGATCGCATCTTACAAGCAGGTAGCAAAGCACGCTGCAGCAGACGCTGTGAGGCACTGTGGGAAAATGTCATTTGATGATGTTCTGAAAAAAACAGAAGATTTTTAGAGACCTTCGTACTGTATGTGCGTTTCTCATCACAATGTAAACCGATGGAGTGTGTACAGGCATACTAGATTTCTAAAGACAGAACACTGTAAAAAATATCTGTTAATTAATTAATAGACTCACTGTATTAAAAAATAATAAAGTTGGCTCAACTTAAAATTGTAAGGAAACTTTTTGTTTTTGACTCAAGTACTGTAAAAAAATTCTTGCTGCCGTAGACTTTAGTTGAGTCAAATAAAATTTTTAAGTTATCGCAACTTAAATCAAATCAAACTGAATAGTTAAACTTTGCATAACTTAAAAAAATGAGTTGAAACCTGATTAACATATTAAAATAAGTTAAAGCAACATACAAATATTTGTTGTCTTGACTTGTCATGAATTAAGTTGTCTCACAATTTTAAATTGAGTCAACTTTTCTTTTTTTACAGTGTAATCTGTATTTTGTGATTAATGTTTTTTCTGTTCATTTATGGTTGTGAATTGCATTATGGGACTTTTAAATCTGCTCTGTTCACTTTTGATGTTCAACTGTGGTGTTTAAAGTCACTTTAATTGACACTTTAGTTGCTTAAAACAATATATTGTTATAAAAATACTATTAAAATGTCAATAAAAGTCACTTTTACAAATGTTTTTTACATCAAACATTGTTGAAAAAAAAAAATCAAGGTCCCATAATGCAATTCAATGCACAGTTTTTTGTTTTATTTGACTCCACTTTTAACTCAAGTTGCCTTATAATTTTAGGTTGAGTTAACTTTATTTTTACAGTGTAATCTGTATTTTGTGATTTATGTTTGTGTGCATTATGGGAGCTTTATCTCTGCTCTGTCAAATTTGATGTTAAAAATTCAACTGTGTTTACGAAAGTGACTTTTATTCACACTTTAGTAGTTTAAAACAATATACTGTTATAGAAGTACTATTAAAAAATGTCAATAAAAGTCCCTTTTACAAACTTTTTTAACATCAAACATTGTTGGACAATAAAAAAAAATCAAGGTCCTATAATGCAATTCGGTAAACAGCTTTTGTTTTGGGTTGACTAAACCTTTAACCCAAGCACTAAAACATTGTTGCCGTTAATTTTTTAGTTGAATCTTTAGTTGAACTTTTCTAGTCATCTGAACTTACATCAGTCAAACGGACTAAAAATGTGAAGCTCAACTTTGCATAACTTCAAAAATTTTGTACAAACATGATCAACATATTAACATAAGTTAAAGGTACATCCAAATATTTGTTGTGTTGACTTGTTGTCATACAATTTTAACAGTATGCTGCAAGCTCCCCTACAATTTTAAGTTCAGTCAACTTTTTTATTTATGTTTTTTTCTGTTTATTTATGGTTGTGAATGCATTATGGGAGCTTTATCTCTTCTCTGTCAATTTTTGATATAAAAAATTTAACTGTGTTTAGGAAAGTGACTTTTATTGACACTTAAGTAGTTTAAAACAATATATTGTTATAGAAAAAAATATTTAAAAAATGTCACTTTTACAAACTTTTTTAACATTAAACATCGTAGGATCAAAAATCAACGCCCATAACGCAACTCAAAGCATAAATAAACAGAAAAACAGATCACAAAATACAGATTACACTGTAAAAACGTTGACAAAATTGTAAGGCGACTTGCAGCACAATGTAAAAAAAACTTATGAAAGGACAACAAACATTTTTATGTTGCTTTAACATTTCATAACTTAAAAATTGTTGAAATCGGATTAACATATTAAAAGTTGTGACTTGAGCATTACTTGACTTGACTCAAGTCTTTAAAGTGTGTTGCAGGTCACATTACAATTTTAAGTTGAGTCAACTTTTCCTGTATTTTGTGATTTGTTTTGCTTTTTTTATGTTTATTTATGGTTGTGAATTGCATGATGGGACTTTTATCTCTGCTCTGTTCACTTTTTATGTTGAAAATTAAACTGTGCAGTTTGACAAATTGACACTTTAGTAGTTTTAAACAATATATTGTTATAGAAATACTATTAAAAATGTCAATAAAAGTCACTTTTACAAACTTTTTTTTAACATTAAACATTGTTGAAGCACAAATCAAGCTCCCCAAATGCAATTGAAAAGCATAAATAAATAAATAAAACAAAACATTAATCACAAAATATGGAAAACTCTTAATTTACAAATGTGTATTATAGTGAAGTTAAGGACGGAATATTTGAGTCACGTAAAATCAATCTTTGAGAATCTTTAGATATGTAATGTCTGATGGTATGATTTTAAAAAACAAAACGTCATCTAACAATGAAAGAAATAAAGAAAAAATAATCTACTCACTTATTTTCATCATCATAACAAACATAATATGGCTTTTAAAATTAAAAAGTGCCACAATTTCTTTGATTCTTTCTCTTTTTTTCCTTTTTTGTTTTTTTGGAATAATAACACACAGTGATATTTCAGCTGTTAGATCTGTCTTCAGCTCTTAACAGGTCCGTACAGGAAGCCAGAAAGAAATAGTAGGTTTAGCTGAGGCTGTTGAATACAGGCGTCGATGCAGCGTTTCGGCCACAAGAAGACTGGCTCAATGGTAAACGTATCTTTTTCCCGAGATGGAAAAAAGAGCACCACATCCCGAAATCTCTTCAGCAAAAGTGTCAGAGTTAGGGACATCAGCAGTACTCCAATGTGGGAAAACAACGAAAAAAAGAAACTGTTCAACCCAAGATGGGTTTTTAGACCTCAGAGTCCCATGCAAGACGCGGGAAGTCTCATATAGAGCGATGTACTGTTTCAATCCCATCATCCTCCTGTCTGAAATAGCTGCGCTTCTCTCTCTGTGTGGTCCTGTATAGCGATATGATCAGCATCTATCATCCGTTCAGTGTCGTTTCATTGAATCGTATCTCTCCTCCGCTGCATAGACGTGCCAAATCAAAGAACGAAATTAACAGAAAGTATTGTAATAAAATTCTGAAGCTTGCTGTGGATATGTGTTTTTTTTTCATTGAGGCTGTAAAAATAAAACAAACAATAAAAAAAGACAGAAAACTAAACTAAAAGGCAGAGGAGAAAGAAATGTGAGAGAAAGAAAGAGAGAGGCTGAAAGGGCTTCACATTCTCATCAGTCTTTGCTGGTATCGATTTGCTGGATAGGGAGATTCAACTGCAGCGGGTCTCGTAGACGCTTTAGATCCAACTCCGCCTGAGGTAGAGATGAGAAAGAAGACAATTAAACATAATAACAAATAAAAAATAAACCCAACGGCCACTATTATTTTTAATACAATAAAATATCTATACAGTTAAAGCCAAAATCATTATCCCTCCTGTGAATTTATTTTCTCTTTTTAATAGTTCTCAAAGGATGTTAAACAGAGCAAGGAATTTTTCACAGTATTTCCGATAATATTTTGTCTTCTGGAGAAAGTCTTATTTGCTTTATTTCAGCTAGAATAAAAGCAGTTTTTAATATTTTAACAACATTTTGAGGTCAATATTATTAGCCCACTTGAGCAATATTTGCTTTGGATTGTCTACAGAACAAACCATTGTTATACAATGACTTGCCTAATTACCATAATGTGCCTAATTAACCTAGTGAAGCTTTTAAATGGCACTTTAAGCTGAATACTAGTATCTTGAAAAAAAAATAAAAAGCAATCTATAGGAGATACCAGGACATCCAGAAGAATGACTGTCTGTCCAGAGCATGCAGTATTTTTAAGGACTCCTCTCACCCTGCTAACAGACCGCTTTCTATCCTGCCTTGCGGCAGGCGCTTCAGGTTCCCCCAGGCAAAAACCAGCAGACTGCGGAACAGCTTTTTTCCCAAAATTGTCTCCCTTTTAAACTCTGTCCCCCAAAGACCCGGTTCATCTTCCAGCAGGACAATGACCCAAAGCACACCACCGAAATATCAATGGAGTGGCTTCACAACAACTCGGTGAATGTCCTTGAGAGCCCAGACCTACAGTAACGCCCCCTTCACACGGGGCTTCAGCGTCAACGCTTGACTGAAGGCGTGTCTGAAGTTGGGGCTGAAGTGATCGTCATAGAAGCGTCAGCCAATGAAATTCGGTCAGCAATAGGCCACTGTCTAGCTGGTGTATTTGCATACAGCGATCTGATAGGCTGACGCTTTCATCGGTGCTTGAAAAGTTGAGCTGGTCCCAACTTCTGCAGCGAGCAACGCCTCTGAAGCGGCACCGACGGATCCACAATGCAGTTCGGCAACTCCTGACCTCACCCATTCAAAGTGTATGGGAAGCGTTGACGCTGACGCCTCGTGTGAATGGGGCGTTAATCTTATTGAAGATTTCAGGAGAGATCTTAAAACGACTGTACACCATCGCTTCCCATCCAACCTGAGAGGAATGGACAAAAATTCCCAAGCACAGGTGTGCCAAGCTTGTGGCATCATATTCAAAAAGCCTTGAGGTTGTAATCGCTGCCAAAGGTGCATCAACAAAGTATTGAGCAAAGGCAGTGAATACTGATGGACATGAGATTTTTCAGCTTTTTTATTTTTAATAAATTTGCAACAATTAAAAAAAACCTTTCACATTGTCATTATGGAGTATTGTGTGTAGAATTGAGGAGATAAATTAGTTTAATTCATTTTAGAACAAGGCTGTAACATAAAAAAATGTGAAGAAAAAGATTTGTTTGGATTGAAATGTGTTCGTTTTGGATATCACTCTTACCTCAGCGATGGCATCCTTCAGTTTGTTGTACTTCTCAATGTCAAAGCGTGTCCTCTTTGCTCCCCGATGAAAGAACAGCAGGTACTGTCTGTCCCTGGCGTCCGGGTATAGATATTCCTGTGCGAGAGAGGAGCATAGACAGGTCAGATGAGTCTCCCTGTGTGTCATTCATTCATATTCCTTCGGCTAAGTCCCTTATTTATGAGGAATCACCACAGCGGAATGAACCACCAACTATTCTGGCCTATGTTTTAGGCAGCGGACGCCCTTCAAGCTGCAACCCAGTACTGGGAAACATCCATGCATACTCATTCACACACACATTCATACACTCCGGACAAATTAGGTTATCCAATTTATCCATAACGCATGTGTTTGGACTGTGGGGGAAACCCACGCCAACACAGGGAGAACATGCAAACTCCACATAGAAATACCAACTGACCCAGATGTGACTAACCAGCAGCCTTCTTGCTGTGAGGCAACAGTGCTAACCACAAAGACATGTGGTACAGGTGAATTGGATGAACTAAATTGGCCGTAGTATATGAGTGTGTAAATGCGTGTATGGGTGTTTCCCAGTGCTGGGTTGCGGCAGGATGGGCATCCTCTGTGTAAAACATAAGCCAGAATATCTAGGAGTTCATTCCGCTGTGGTGACCCCTGATAAATAAGGGACTAAGCTGAAGGTAAACGAATGAATAGATGCGTTTAGGAGGAACCTTTGGAAGGGCTGACGGATAAAGAGCCGCTCACCTGACGTGTTAGCACGAAGTAAGCGTACATGGCCATGGCGGTGCCGTAGGTGATGAAATACGTGACAGGCTCCATGATATCCCATGAGTACTCCCACCAGGTCAGCCGTGCCAGAATGCCAAATTGCGTGGCCATGTAAGCCATTCCCCCCCACAGCACCCAGGTAGTCCTGCGCTCGGCTTTCTTACTCAGCTCCTCTTTAACCTGAGAAATGAAGATTACAGCAGAATGACCAAACATTGTGATGGAGTATAAAGCGCAATATGGACAGCCCTCCAACAAACAGAGCTCCGAAAGACGATTTTGGTTCCATAGCTGGAATATTATTGGCCAAGAAATGGCTATAGCGGACTCACAAACAGATATACAGTGCACACTAATTAAATAAACACACATGTACAGACACATTTAGACACAGACAGACAGAATATATAGACACACAGACACACAGAAAGACGCAGGCAGACAGCCAGACACACAGACAGACAGAATATATAGACTCACAGACACACACACACACAGACTGAGACGCACAGAAAGACGCAGGCAGACAGACAGACACAAATAGACACAGACAGACAGAATATATAGACACAGAGACATACAAACACATATAGACATACAGACACACAGAAAGACGCAGGCAGACACATATAGACACAGACACATACAGATAGACTATATAGACACAGACACATATAGACACACAGAAAGACACAGGCAAACAGACACGTATAATGCAGACAGACACATATAGACACACAGAAAGATGCAAGCAGACAGACACATATAGACGCAGACAAACAGACACATATAGAAGTAGACAGACAGAATATATAGACATACAGACACAGAGACACACAGAAAGATGCAGACAGACAGACAGACAGACATATAAACACAGATAGACAAACATACACACAGAAACTGACAGACAGACACAGATGCAGACAGACACATAGACAGAGACAGACAGAATATGTAGACACAGAGACATAAGGACACACAGAAAGACACAGGCAGACAGGCAGGCAGACAGACAGACAGACAGACAGACAGACAGACAGACAGACAGACAGACACGTATAGATGCAGACAGACAGACAGACACATTTAGAAGCAGACACACAGAATATATAGACACAGACATACAAGCCACATAGACACACAAAAAGACGCAGATTGACAGACACATATAGTAGCAGACAGACAGAATATATAAACACACACACATAAAAATGCAGACAAACAAACACAGACGCAGACAGACAGACAGACACATATAGAAGCAGACATACAGAATATATAGACACACAGACATACAGACACATATAGACACACAAAAAGACGCAGACAGACAAACACATATGAATGCAGACAGACACATACAGAAGCAGACAGACAGAATATACAGACACACACATAGACACAAAGATGCAGGCAGACATATAAACACAGACAGACATAATATATACACACAGACATACAGCATATATAGACACACAGACATACAGAAAGATGCAGACAGACAGACACATATAGACCCAGAAAGACACAGACAGAGAGACAGACCTATAGGTGCAGACAGACTGACACATATAGACAAAGACAGACAGAGTATATAGACACACAGACATACAGATACATATAGACACAGACAGACAGTATATAGACAAACAGACATATAGATGCACAGAAAGACACAGTCAGACAGAGACACATATAGACGCAGACAGACAGATATATAGATATATATAGATATATAGACACACAGACATACAGACACATATACTGTAGACACAGGGAAAGACACATACAGGCAGAGACACACATATAGACCGACAGACACAAACATATATAGATACACAGAAACAGACAGACACGCGCGCACACACACACACACAAACACATAAAACAAGTCAAGTTTTAGACGTCTTTAACAAAACTTTGCAATTACAGAATTAGCAGTATTCATGCAGATCTCAGTGTGTAAAACCCCACACAATTCCACACAGTCAATGTACTGTGCAATTAGACACTCTCAGCTTAATTATCAGCTGTCGTTATGATCAGATAATGGCTGTTCGCATCACTATAGCAGTTTCGCTTGCCGTCTGTGTTATCCCATGTGTTCATTCTGTGTGTGCGGTTCAGCGGTTAGTTGAACTAATTAAACATGAAGAACATTTAACCGCAAGTCTATTTTTTGTGATTTTGTTTATACTAAAATATATACAGTTGAAATCAAAACTACTAGCCTCCATGTATATATTTTCCCATAATTTCTGATTACTAGAAAGATTTTTTTTAACACATTTCTAAACATAATAGTTTTAATAACTCATTTCTAATAACTGATTTATTTTATCTTTGCCATGATGGCAGTAAATAATATTTTTCAAGATACTAGTATTCAGCTTAAAGTGACATTTAAAGGCTTAACTAGGTTAACTAGGCAAGTTTGGGTAATTCAATTGTATAACGATGATTTGTCCTGTAGACTATCGAAAAAAATATTGCTTAAAGGTGCAGTATGTAGGTTTGACACCCAGTGGTTGAACTAGGTATTGCACTCTTGGTTCAAAACACAAACAAGCGCAGGTTGCCAGATTGATGACATTAACAGAATTGTGCCCAACTATCGAGCCTAAAGGCTGATTTAAGTTGTGTTCTAATTAAAAGCAATGGCACCTGACAGAAGGAATATTTTACATATTAAAAGGAGTTTTTGTCCTAAGCAACACCTAAAATTTATATATTAGAAACGGCTTCTATTTTTTGCAGCTGAACAACAGGATAAACTGACAATGATCATCTCAGGTACCCCTCATGTGCTATATTCAGTGTCAAATGCTAATAATGTGAGTTTGAAAGCCATTTTACATGACATTTATTGCTGTACTACTGAAATCAGCTGCAGATAGTTCATCTCAGATCTGGAAAATAAATAAACAGTTTGAAATTGAACTTTAGAGCTGTGACTCAACACGTATCAGACATTCAGCATCTACATTTAATAATGTTAAAAAAGTTTAATATGTACTAGTTAGATTATAAACCTTACCATTTCGCTGGAGTGCAGTAAGTGCACTATTCTGTGCTTCGGAATGGCTGTATTTACATTTCTATCGTGTTTTGTATGATGCAAACAGCCTAATTGCTTATCAATGCAAATCTTGTCATGTAGCGTGTTGTTAGGACACAGGGTTGCGATTGTAACCTGCTCACCTTATGTTTATTCTTGTAATATTTATATTATTTGCTAATTAATAACCACCTCATGTGGAACTCTGAATCTGCGTCTCATTTCGGAGTTTGCTACAGTCCACCGGAGGTCGCATTTAGGTTGCGGACGCATGCTTTAAGAGCCTTCATGACTGAAATGCGCGGTTTCCCATGAAGGTAACCCAGGTTGCTAAAATATAATTGGCTAAACTGCCATTCGGGTATGTGACACATATTTAAAGCAGAATATCTGACTTCAGCATTGTTTTCCAGGTTAACAAGAATGTTCACCTGTTTCTTAAATATCTGCAAACATATTATGGTGTTTTTATGCTTTAGAAGAGTCAAAAACGTACAGCACCTTTAAGGGGGCTAATAATTTTGACCTTAAATTAAAAACTAGCTTTTATTCTAGCCAAAATAAAGCAAATAAAACTTTCTCCAAAAGAAAAAAATATTATAGGAAATACTGTGGAAAAAATCCTTGTTCTGTTAAACATCATTTGGGAAATATTTGATCACAAGAGGGCTAACGATTTTGACTTCAACTGTACATTTCTATGTAAAAACTCCACGTTTTTAAGTTTATGAGGCAGGATATCATGAACAAGATGAAATATAATCAATCCATGTATATCAACCCCACTTAGAATGCCCACAGTTTCTGTTTTCCATGCATCATCTGTCATTACGGCTCAGCATGTGGGCAGAGGAGAATCACACAGAGCAGGGAAACTGCTTACGGTAACATTAACTTCCTCATTTTCTTTGACAGGGAAATGAATCATGGGAGTTCTGCTTTCTCACGCTGTTGCTCGTTTGCATCCATTTGAACTTTTCTTAACTATTGTAACATTGCTTGATCAAAAAAACAAAACAAAAAAAAGATTACAAAAAATTACTTGTAATGATTATATCTCTCATTTAATTTAGCTTTCATTGCAACACATACAGTTGAATGCACATTTGTAAATAAATTGACTCAATGATGGGCTAAAGATTCCATGTGGGCCCACATACATATCACCTAAACAACACACCTTCTCCAAGGGCTTGAGCTGAGAGTTGAGGTCCTCCAGTCGTCCAATCAGCTCTCTCTCTTTGTTGAGCTGATGCTCCTCTATACGCAGGGTGGTGTAGAGCTGCTGCACCAAAATCTTGACATCGTTCAGCCGCTCGCCGTCCTCGTGCGGTAACAGATCTAACCAAATGTCAACAAAATATCAAAAGCTCCTCTGGGCCTCTGTAAAATCTTACCCCCCCCAATGACCCACAATGCAACAGCGCACGCTTACCTCTCCTGGGGGGCTGCACCAGGTATGAGGTGTCATTAATGACTAGCTTAAAGTTGTCCATAAGTAAAATGTCAATCCCTGTTGAGGACGCTATTCTTGCTCCATCTACAAACAGAGAGAGAGAGAGAGAGATTGTGGGAAATTAGAAGTGCATAAAACCGTGCAGTGTGTTAAAGTCATCATGATTTCACCTACTTATTTTTATATTTAGGCATTTTCAGCAATATGGATGTGACATTTGCAGTAAATAAAAGATTAATTCAGAGAAATTATACAGTGCATCCAGAAAGTATTCATAGAGCTTCACTTTTCCCACATTTTTAGGCTGGCTTGAGAAACAAGCCAGACTACTGAAATCCTATTTAAACTTATTATTTTTTTTACTTATATATTATTCTTCTTCTTCTTCTGAGACTAAAATTCAAAATCTATCTCCTCCTAGAGCTTTCGAGCTATGACCACCAAACTCACACCAGACCTCCAAACTATTCTGACTCGGTATGCCATATCTTTTCCGACTGATCCGACTTTCGATTTTCCGAAAAACGTCCCGGGACCGTCGGAAAAATCCCATAGACTTAACATTGGACCAAACTTTGTGACCTCATAACTCTGCGTCAGACTGTCGCACAGAACTCTAACTGGGCTCATTTAACTCAGACTATCAAACTGCCAATGACTGATCACCTTTAAACTTTCTAGCCACGCCCTAGCAACCACTTTTGGACCCTAGAAACTGTCCCATAGACTTCCATTCAAAAGACTCTCATTGACTTAACATGGGATCAAACTTTGTGAGCTCATAACTCTGCATCAGACTGTCATACAGACTAATGGCTGAGCTCATTTAACTCAGACTACCAAACTGCCAATAACTGATGAGCTTTTAACTTTCTAGCCACACCCTAACTACCAGATACTGCACCCTAGCAACAACTGTCCCATAGACTTTTATTGCAAAAGACTGTCATTGACTTAACAATAGATCTAACTTTGTGACCTCAAAACTATCTATCTATACTTTTTTCAAACTGCTTCTGTCTATCTATCTATCTATCTATCTATCTATCTATCTATCTATCTATCTATCTATCTATCTATCTATCTATCTATCTATCTATCTATCTATCTATCTATCTATCTATTTATAAACTACTTTTATCTATCTATCTATCTATCTATCTATCTATCTATCTATCTATCTATCTATCTATCTATCTATCTATCTATCTATCTATCTATCTATTTATAAACTACTTTTATCTATCTATCTATCTATCTATCTATCTATCTATCTATCTATCTATCTATCTATCTATCTATCTATCTATCTATCTATCTATCTATAAACTGCTTTAATCTATCTATCTATCTATCTATCTATCTATCTATCTATCTATCTATCTATCTATCTATCTATCTATCTATCTATCTATCTATCTATCTATCTATCTATCTATCTATCAACTGCTTTAATCTATCTATCTATCTATCTATCTATCTATCTATCTATCTATCTATCTATCTATCTATCTATCTATCTATCTATCTATCTATCTATCTATCTATCTATCTATCTATCTATCTATCTATCTATCTATCAACTGCTTTAATCTATCTATCTATCTATCTATCTATCTATCTATCTATCTATCTATCTATCTATCTATCTATCTATCTATCTATCTATCTATCTATAAACTGCTTTAATCTATCTATCTATCTATCTATCTATCTATCTATCTATCTATCTATCTATCTATCTATCTATCTATCTATCTGTAAACTGCTTTAATCTATCCATCCATCCATCCATCCATCCATCCATCCATCCATCCATCCATCCATCCATCCATCCATCCATCCATCTATCTATCTATCTATTTAAAAACTACTTTAATCTATCTATCTATCTATCTATCTATCTATCTATCTATCTATCTATCTATCTATCTATCTATCTATCTATCTATCTATCTATCTATCTATCAACTGTTTTAATCTATCTATCTATCTATCTATCTATCTATCTATCTATCTATCTATCTATCTATCTATCTATCTATCTATCTATCATCTATAAACTGCTTTAATCTATCTATCTATCTATCTATCTATCTATCTATCTATCTATCTATCTATCTATCTATCTATCTATCTATAAACTGATTTTATCTATTTATAAACTGATTTTATCTATCTATCTATCTATCTATCTATCTATCTATCTATCTATCTATCTATCTATCTATCTATCTATCTATCTATCTTCAAACTGTTTTAATCTATCTATCATGCTAGGAACATGCTAAATAATGTTAGAATCATGCTAGTAACATGCTAAGTCATGCTAGAATCATGCTAATTCATGCTATTAACTTGCTAATTCATGCTAGAATCATGCTAATCCATGCTAGAATCATGCTAATAACATGCTAATTCATGCTAAAATCATGCTAATTCATGCTAGTAACATGGTAATTCATGCTAGAATCATGCTAATAACATGCCATTTTATGCTAGAATCATGCTAATTCATGCTAGAATCATGCTAGTAACATGCTAATTCATGCTAGAATTATGCTAGTAGCGTGCTAATCCTTGCTAAAACATGCTAATAGCATGCTAAGTCAAGCTAGAGTAATGCTAACTAAATGCTAATTCATGCTAATGACATGCTAATTCATGCTAGAATCATGCTAGTGACATGCTAATTCATGCTAGAATCATGCTAATTCATGTTAGAATCATGTTAGTAACATGCTAATTCATGCTAGAATCATGCTAGTAGCATGCTAATCCATGCTAGAATCATGCTAATAACATGCTAATTCATGCTAGAATCATTCTAGTAGCATGCTAAATCATGCTAGAATCATGCTAACAACATGCTAATTCATGCTAGAATCATGCTAATTAATGCTAGAATCATGCTAGTAACATGCTAATTCATGCTAGAATCACGCTAATTCATGCTAGTAGCATGCTAATCTGTGCTAGAATCATGCTGATAGAATGCTAAGTCATGCTAGAATCAGGCTAACAACATGCTAATTCATGCTACAATCATGCTAATTCATGCTAGAATCATGTTAATTTATGCTAGAATCATGCTAATAACATGCTTATTCATGCTAGAATCATGCTAGTTCATGCTAGAATCATGCAAATTTATGCTAGAATCATGCTAGTAACATGCTAATTCATTCTAGAATCATGCTATATCATTCTAGAATCATGCTAGTAACATGCTAATTCATGCTAGGATCATGCTAACAACATGCTAATTCGTGCTAGAATCAGGCTAGCAACATGCTAATCCATGCTAGAATCATGCTAGTAACATGCTAATTCATCCTAGAATCATGCTAATGACATGCTAATTCATGCTAGAATCATGCTAATTCATGCTAGAATTATGCTAATAACATGCTAATACATGCTAGAATCGTCCTAGTAACATGCTAATTCATGCTAGAATCATGCTAACAACATGGTAATTTATGCTAGAATCATGCTAAACTTTAAACTACTTTAAACCTAAAACTGCTTTAAGACTAAGCTACTTTAAACTTAAAACTGCTTTAAAACTTTAAGCTACTTTAAACTTTAAACTGCTTTAAAACTTTAAACTACTTTAAACTGCTTTAAAACTTTACGCTACTTTTACTTAAAACTGGTTTAAAACTTAAAAATTAAAGCTTTCTCAAGCCAGCCTAAAGTTTGTCTCGACGAACTTTAATAATCTAGTTTTATGTTACAGCCTTATTCCAAACTGTATTAAATTCATTCATTTCCTCAACATTCTACACACAATACTCCATAATGACGATGTGAAAAAAGAGTTTTTGAAATTGTTGCAAATTTAATAAAGATAGAAAACCTAAAAATCACATGTACGTCAGTTTTCACAGCCTTTGCCGTGAAGCTCTAAATTGAGCTCAGGTACATTCTGCTTCCCCTGATCATTCTTGAGATGTTTCAGCAGCTTCATTGCAGTTCACCTGTGGTAAATTCAGCTGATTGGACATTATCTAAAAAGACACCTGTCTATATAAGGTCCCAGGGTTGACAGTGCATGTCAAAGCACAAATCAAGCATGAAGACAAAGGAATTGTCTGTAGACCTCAGAGACAGGATTGTCTTGAGGCACAAGGCTGGGGAAGGTTACAGAAACATTTCTGCTGCTCTGAAAGTTCCAATGAGCACCATGGCTTCTATTAACCGTAACTGGAAGATGTTTGGAACCACCAGATCTCTTCCTAGAGCTGGCGGGCCATCTAAGCTGAGTGATCGGGGGAGAAGGGCCTTAGTCTGGGAGGTGATCAATAACCCACTGGTCACTCTGTCTGAGCTCCAGCGTTCTTCTGTGAAGAGAGGATAACCTTACAGAAGGACAACCATCTGTGCAGCAATCCACCAATCAGGCCTGTATGGTAGAGCGGCCAGACAGAAGCCGCTCCCCGCCTGGGATTTGCCAAAAAGCATCTGAAGGACTCTCAGACCATCAGAAACTAAATTCTTTGGTCTGACAAAACTAAAATTTAACTCTTTATAGTGAATGCCAGGCGTAACGCTTGGAGAAACCATTCACCGCTTATCACCAGGCTAATATCTCCCTTACAGTGAAGCATGGTGGTGTTGGCATCATGCTGTGGGGATGTTTTTCAGCAGCAGGAACTAGAAGACTAGTCAGGATAGAGGGAAAAATTAAGGCAGCACTGTACAGAGACGTCCTGAATGAAAACTTGCTTCAGAGTGCTCTTGATCTCAGACTGGGGCGACGGTTTATCTTCCAGCAAAATATCAATGGAGTGGCTTCACAACAACTGGGTGAATGTTCTTGAGTGGCCCAGCCAGAGCCCAGAACTAAATCCTATTGAGCATCTCTGGAGAGATCTGAAAATGGCTGTACACCGTCGCTTCCAACCTGATTGAGCTTGAGAGGTACTGCAAAGAGGAACGGGCAAAGATTCCCAAGACAGGTGTGCTAAACTTGTGGCATTATATTTAAAAAGGCTGGAATTGCGGCCAAAGGTGCATCAACAAAGTATTGAGCAAAAGCTGTGAATACTGATGTACATGTGATTTGTCAGGTTTTATATTTTTAATGCATTTGCAACAATTTCAAAAACTCTTTTTTCACATTGTTATTATGGGGGGGTTGTGTGTAGAATTTTGAGAAAATAAATGACTGTAATCTATTTTTAAATAAGGATGTAACATAAAAAAAATGTGGAAAAAGTTAAGCACTATCAATACTTTCCACATTATATTAAAACATCTGTTTATATTTTCCCAATCAACTAAACACAGAGTTATGGGATCAGAAATATCAATCTGTGAACATTTTTTAGATTTTAAGTACCTTTTTAAGGTTTCACAAAATTGTAGACTGAACCACACATTTTCCAATGATCCTATTCCTTTAATAATAAATTAATTTAGCATTTTTCTAGGAAACAAATCCATTGTTCCTATCTCTTGGGGCAAAATGAAATTCAAATATAGGTCATTAGCTGTTTCCTTTGTAGTGCAATCCACAAAGATGAACGTGCGGCTTAATCCCAATAGTTTAATTGATAGTACATCTTCTAATCTAAATGGGGAGCAAGAATCATTTGTTCTGTGCAGCCTGCATGTCTGCTCCGTTTCAAGCTCAATTATTCCCGTGTGAGAGACACTCGAGCTTTCTCTTGCCTGTGAGAAGAGTGAAAGATGTTATCCGCCTTCTTTACCTCACTCGGTTTCACCTCAGACTAGAGAAGGGAGTCTTGAGGAGCATACTAACACAGCAGGAAACCTTTGTGATGAGCATTTAGATTGGCTCTCGTATTATCCAACCATTTCTCTGAGAGGATTGCAGTTAAACTAGCCTCAGCTTAGACCTGTGGCTAAGCATATGGCATGCTTTTCTGGAAACACTTCAGTCGTCCTCTGATTGGCTTAAATATGTAGGATTTCTAAAAGTTGAATGTGCAGCAATCCTTAAATATGGAAACAACTCTGATAAAAAAGCTGCGATTTTTTATATTGATCACATTCAAGTTTATTTGTATAGTGCTTTTCACAATAATCAGCTTAACAAAAGGTGCACATTAATGCAGAACAGTCCAAATATGAAAAGTTGAGGTTATTAGTTACAAATAACCAGCCCCACACGGAATCTGCAGCGCATAAATTTGCAGAATTACATAGATTGTCAGCCCATCAGAGTCTATTTATTTACTTGTGTAAATGTGCGTACATTTATATTTATTTAGTTTAAAAGTTAATTTCAGTAATAATATTGGCTAACATGAAAATGTTCATTCGATTTATTTACAATATAGTTTGTAAAGTAATATTTTCTGTCTATTAATAGATATATTATATGAGAGATTAGTTTGTTTACCAAATAACTGGATCTTATTTACATCACAAACATTAAATAAAAGGTAAAAATTATCATGTTTTTCATTTCATATATTAAGTTTATGGTTACCATGCTCCCCAAAATCATCCAAAAAATGTCAGCAGATTCTGTCTGGCCCTACTAATAACTTTAATAACTAATAACTTTTCAGTTAAAGTTATACAGTTATACATTTATGTTATACAATAATGTGATAAAGACTGAAAACATCACAAAGCTTTTCAGATTTCAAATATATGTTAATGTTAATTAATTCTGCTCTTTTGAACTTTATATAAAATTCTGTCTATAACATTAAAAGTGACACTTTGAAAAGTATTACCACAATAATGATATAATATTAATAATAATAATAATAATAATAATAGATATTTTCCACCAAAGTATTAAGCATTTTTACAGGAAAAAAGAAAATATAGACAGCACCCTCTAGTAAATTTGTCATCTGAAACATGCAACGAAGCCGAGGGTCTGTTTCTGCTTCTGAGGGTCTGTTTTTGCTTGCTTGTTTTTTATGAAAATGAGACATTAAATTAATGTGTCAGTAAAGATTAAAAATGTCACAAATTTTACAGATTCAGCTTTCATAGATGTGTTCAAATTAATTCTGTTCTTTTGAACTTCATATAAAATTCTGTCAAGGACATTACAAGTAAAACATTTAAAAGTATTTCAACAATATAATATTTAATAATAATAATAATTATTATAATTATTATTAATTAATAATTATTATTATTATAATTATTATTAATCTTAATCTTATTATAATGATGATGATAATAATAATATAATAATAATGATGATAATAATGATAATGATAAAAATAATAACAATAATAATGATAATAATAATAATAACAAAAATTATTATTATTATTATTATTATTATTATTATTATGATAATACTAATAATAATAATGATAATAAGAATTATGATGATAATAATAATAATAATATAATACTGATGATAATAATAATAAAAATAATAATAATAATATTAATAATAAGAATTATGATGATAATGATAATAATACTACTAATAATAAGAAGAAGAATTATGATGATAATAATAATAATATAATACTGATAATAATAATAATAATAATAATAATAATAATATAATACTGATAATAATAATAATAATAATAACCATATATCCACAAAAATATGACGCATTTTTACAGGAAAAATAAAATGTTGACAGCGCCAAAAAATGACCATAAAGACAAAAAATGACCATAAAGACTGAAAACATCACAAAGCAATTGTTCAAATTAATTCACAATGTATTTAATAATCACAATAATATTGTATCATGCCACAATTATTGTGATGATATCATATTGCTGGGGCTAACAACTGACAAATCAAACTGAGTTTTAAAGAGACAGTTCACCCTGCCACTGTTGTGCTTGGATCTATATTTGCACTCTGAAACACTGAATACATGGCAGTTTCAGAGATTTACTGTACCTGCAGAGTAGATGGTGACTCTATCGATGCCTCTGTCCTCCGCCTGCAGCTGCTGAAGGAAAACACCCACCGTGTCACTCAGAGGTTTGAGGGTGAACTGACAGCGCTCTCGTCGAGACGGCAGACGTACAGAAATCACCGGCAATCCGTTGTGATACACCACTGAGACATCTGTAGACACACAACCCGGAAAAAAAATCCTTAGTAAATAAAGGAGAAATCTCGATACAGCATTATATAGTTGTCAACATTTGAAGCGGATCAAAACCTAGAAATCGAAATCTACAGACCAACACTCTTTCTTGTCTAGGGACAATTTTGATCCACTACTATATTGCAATATTTTCCGCATCAATACAATATTAATACACAGACACTCATTAGTGTTACACTGTCTTACGTGTCACCAGATAGCATTTGAGTTAAGAGACATGCAAACTAAGGAGCAGGATTACTGGAACCATGTCCTGAGGTCTGATGAGACCAAGATAAACCTGTTTGGTTCAGATGGTGTCAAGTGTGTGTGGCAGCAACCAGGTGAGGAGTGCAAATACAAGTGTTTTCCCTACCATTAAACATGGTGGTGGGACAGTCATGATGTGGGGTTGCATGAGTGCTGCTGGCATTGGGGAGCTACAGTTCATTAAGGGAAACATGAATTGTAACAGTGTGCTGAAAAAACCCCAGCTTAAACCAGCCTACACTGTAAAAAATGCAGGGCTTTACACAATTCCTTCATGTTGTCCCAACACAAATCAATGAAGTTATCTTTATTGCTTTTACAAATGTAGGTGTTAAGTTGTCCTCCAAAAAGCTCAAGGATTATGTTGATTCGGCTCGTTTTTAAGTAGTTTGAACAGGCAGCAAAGATATTGTGTTTTGCGTGTAGGCTGGTTGGCTGGTTTCAGCTGGTCGACTAGCCTAGTTTTAGAGGGGTTTTGGCCATTCCAGGCTGGTTTCCAACAATGTCCAGCCTGGTCTTTGCTGGTCCTTGCCAGGTTGGAAATGGCTGGTTTTAGCTGGTCATTTTCCAGCCTAACCAGCTAAGACAAGGTTGGAAATGGCTGAAAACCAGGCTGGTCGACTAGCTACAACCAGTCAACCAGGGGAGTGTTTTCCAAATAACAACATAACCAGTGGCTGAACTATTATAGTATGATGCATCGTTTGGAAAAAGAATGATGTAGTGACGAGTGTTTCCCAAAAATGTCTTTGTCGCAGATTCATCCTTTGATTCACATTAGTTATAGCGTAAAACGCCCATAATGATACTCTAAACAGGGCAGAGTAACAACAACTTTGGAGAAGAACCCCGTAATTTATTTGTGCAAATTAAATTGTTTTACGCGCACATGCATTACAAAAATCCAATATTAGTTTTGGTAGAAAACATGCACAGGTTCTCCATATTAATAGAAATATATTCTATTCTGAATTAACAAAATCACTGACAATAAATACTGGGTAACACTTTACAATAAGCTTCATTAGTTAATGCATTTACTAACATGAACTAATCATGAACAACACATGTACAGCATTTATTAATCATAATTGAACATTTACTAATGCATTATTAACATTTAAGTCCATGCTTGTTAACATTAGTTAATGCACCATAAGTTAACATGAACTAACAATGAACTACTGTATTTTAATTAACTAACGTTAACTAACATGAACAAATACAGTAGTAGATGTATTGTTCATGGTTTGTTCATGTTAGTAAATGCATTAATTAACATTAACTAATGAACCTTATTGTAAAGTGTGACCAAATACTGAAACTATTTATTAAGAAATTAAATTTAATATTTATAATTCATTAAGAAATGAAAAAAATCCTACTTTAATAATAATAATATTATTGATCATGATGATTATAGTGATTATTATTATTATTATTAGGTAGGATATTCTTTTTTTTTTCTACTTTTACAATTTGAGACAAGTAAACCACTGCAGAAATGTTCTAACTAACAGGCCCATGTCAAGTATGCCCACGTATGCTGTGTTTTTTCTTTTCATACGCTTTAAGATGTAACATTAATTCCGCTTTAAATAATAGGTCACCTATAGCTTTCGTCATGAGTAACGGCTGTGTTCAAAATAACATTAATGTTTTCTAAGGGCACTGCTAAGGGAGTGCAATTGTAAACATGAAGATCGCTAAAACTGAACTGTAAAAATACTTTAAAAGCAAATTACACGTAAGAGTGATGACCTTAATGCCTTAAAAAACATTCCAAGTTTAAATGTTAGAATGTTTGATAGGAATAGGCCATAGGGGGGATAACTGGGAATAGAGCACAGCCAGGAACTATGTTTCTAACTGCAGCTCCAGATGTGTAGTTGCAAGCATAGAAGTTTGCAAATGTTCATTGGAATGACGGCTTTAGGAAATGCCAAATCATCAAACTATGTTTGTAACGACACAACTTGCGACCTAAGTTGGCTAACAATGGTTTTCAGAAAGCACCCCAGATTTAAGTGTTTTTTTCAGCATGGTTGTTTACAGTGCTGCAGCAATTAATTCTGCCTGTAAAACAAACAAACAAACAAACAAACATAAAACAAGCAAGTCCATCAAACTTTAGGAAAGCAAGATTCTGACTGCTTAAGAGTGTGAGAGGATGTCCAGCAGGGGGCAGTATTGTAATGACAGTAAAGGTTAACCAAAGCGCCCTGTTGATGGGAGAATTCCTCACACGACTGCAGTATCTTAACCGTCGTCCAGCTGATAAACTTATGAATGCGAATTCTTGAGCAAACAGGAAACCCTTCCCTGTGGAGTGAGTAGACGCTATGTCCCCCACTGTACATCGTCATTTATGTAACGTTACATTGGTCGTTTATTTCACTGTTTTGGCCACCGTCAAACGTCCTCTGGGAAACGGTTTGAATTTCCGGTTCGTGTTCAATTCATGTACTGTGCTGTTAAGTGTGTAAGTGCACATGATGTATAGTGAGCCATTTAGGACGCTGTGACAGTTTACTCTGTGTCTCCTGCCTCTGTCCCGTCGATGGTAGACTACAGTTCGGATCCAGATCTCCACATTTGTCTCATTTATATAGTTCCTCATTACTGCAGTCGCTCTGTTTAATGAGTCTGAGGGGGGCCGTGATGAGGTCTGAAGTCTGGATAATACAGAATTGAGTAGTTTAAGGTGTCGTTCTGAGCTCTTATGGTCAGGCTTTACTACTATTCTTCCTGTTTCTATTGACTTAAAAACAAAATGATGAAATACCCAAGATAAGTATGGCCTTAAGGGGACAGTTCACCCAAAAATGGGAATTTGCTCAACGTAAGTTGTTGCAAACCTTTCTTTATTTTGTTGAACAAGATAGAAGATGTTTTGAAAAATGTTAGAAATAGGTAACAATTGAGTTCCACAGTATTTGTTTTACCTAATATAAAGTCAACAGTTACAGGTTTTTCAGCATTTTTCAAAACATATTGTGTTCAACAGAATAAAGACATTCCTTAAGGTTTGAAACAATTTACCTCTGGTAAATTTCCATTTTTGGAAATATCTTCTTTTGGGTTCAACAGAAGAAAGTTTTGTGATGAGTAAATGATGACAGAATTTTCAGTTTTGGGTGAACTATTTCTTTAATAAGCCCATTTTATAATTTTTAAAAGAATATGATTACACCTCATGCCAACATTTACACTGATTTCAGAGCTAAACAAAAGACATTTACTTTCTTACATACTACAATCTACAGTATTTATTTTAAAATCCAGGGTACTAATAAATAACCTTTTGACTTTAGACACAAGTGATTAAATGACTTCATTAAAGGAACATTTCACTCAAAAATGAACATTTGCTCACTATTTACTCTCAAATGGTTTCAAACTTTTATGTGTTTCTTTCTTCTGTTGAACAAATTACAAGATATTACAAAAAAAGCTGAAAACCTGTAACCATTGACTTCCAGAGTATAGGAAAAACAAATACTATGGAAATCAATGGTTACAGGTTTTTCATCATTTTTAAAAATGTTTTCTTTTGCATTTACCAGAAGAAATGTACTTGAACAGGTTTGTGATGAGAGAACGGTGCATAAATTATGACAGAATTTTCAGTTTTGGGTGAACTATGCCTTTAATAAGCCCATTTTATCATTTAAAGGGATTTGATTCCACCCCATGGCAACATTTACACTGATTTCAGAGCTAAACAAAAGACATTTACATTCTTACGCATACTACAATCTACAGTACTTTACTTATTTTAAAATCCATTGTACTTCTAAATCACCTTTTGACTTTAGACACGAGTGATTAAATGACTTTAAAGGGATAGTTCACTGAAAAATGAACATTTACTTACTATTTACTCTCTCTCAAGTGGTTTCAAACTTTTATGGGTTTATTTCTTCTGTTGAACATAAAAGAGGATATTACAAAAAAAGCTGAAAACCTGTAACCATTGACTTCCAGAGTATAGGAAAAACAAATACTATGGAAATCAATGGTTACAGGTTTTTCATCATTTTTTAAAATATCTTCTTTTGCATTTAACAGAAGAAATCTACTCAAACATGTTTGTGATGAGAGAACAGTGCATAAATTATGACAGAATTTTCAGTTTTGGGTGAACTATTTCTTTTTATAACCCCATTTTATCATTTTAAAAGAATATGATTCCACCTCATGCCAACATTTACACTGATTTCAGAGCTAAACAAAAGACATTTACTTTCTTACATACTACAATCCATAGTCCTTTACCTATTTTAAAATCCAGCCTGCTGAAAAATCCAGCTTAAACCAGCCTAGGCTGGTTGTCTGGTTTTAGCTGGTCAACCAGGCTGGTTTAAGAGGGGTTTTGGCCATTTCCAGACTGGTTTCCAGCTATTTCCAGCCTGGTCTTAGCTGGTCAGACTGGAAAATGACCAGCTAAATCCAGCTAAAACCAGCTTGACCAGCCTGGTTTAAGCTGGACATAGCTGGTTTTGGCTGGGCTTACCAGCCTGGCTAGGCTGGTCAAGCTGGTTTTAGCTGGTCATCTCCCAGCCTGACCAGCTAAGACCAGGCTGGAAATGGCTAGAAACCAGCTTGGAAATGGCCAAAACCCCTCTAAAACCAGCCTAAGGTGGTTTAAGCTGGATTTTTCAGCAAGGGGGTACTTCTAAATCACCTATTGACTTTAGACACGAGT